GGCTCATGGTGCCCTAGGAGGACCCATGGAAAGGCCTATGGGAGAGCCTCAGCCAACAGTCCTAAGGCCTTCCAAGGCCAGGCCCAGAGGCATAGATCTGGGCCTAGACGAGATGAGGGAAGCTCAGAGCCTGCTGGGCAGAGCTCTGGGGGCTGTCAGGCTTCCCTCCTTCCCAGGCACAGCAAGGGAGAAAGGAGCACAGGCCAGAAGTGATGGAAACTAGCCTTGGGACAAACTAATGGCCTGAGGGAAGCCATCTTCTGCTCCTCCCAGGGCCCCAGGCCACCCATTCACAGACCAACCAGGCCTGTTTGACTCATTTCCTCCCTTAAATCCTCCTTAAGCATCTTTCTCCACTTCTGGGTCCAAGGCTGAATGGCCTTGGGGCAATCAGTGAGTTGGTTGCAGCTGTGGGAACCTTAAGACATCTGGGAAGATAGGGGTGGGGGTAAGGTGGGGAGGGGGTGTCCTCAGCAATTAGGTACCTAGAGACCTCAGTGAAAAATCCTCCCTCCAAGAACTATTGTACTCATTGTCATTCATTGAACACCTACGGTTCTCTCTCAACTCCTGTATCTCAGCCTGGGGGAGAGAGGGTAGCAGGGAGGGCTTCCCGGAGGAGGTATAACACCTGAGCTGAAACTTCTAAGGTGACAAAAAGAAGGTAACCAGTAAGGGAGCAGAAAGAGTATTCTAGACATGGCATGTGCAAAGAGCTGGAGGAGAGAAACAGTAGGAAAACAAGAGTGAGACTGAAACTACAGTTTGGTGTCACAGGCTCATAGGAAGAGGTGGGGAGGGGCTAGAGGGGGAACTGGCAACAGGAACCGGTCACAGAGTCACAGAAGGACTCTGAATGATGGAGTCACCTAGTCAGATGAGGAAACCGATGTCCAGAGAAGAGGAGCACTGTCTGCCTGAAGACTCCATCCAAAAAAAAGGATATAAAGCTGGGCCTGGTGTTGGGGGTAAGAGAATGGGGCCAAGGCCAGGCGGCACGCTGAAGGCCAGATGCAGGTTGCAGCCCCAGCTGGGAGCTGTGGCCAAGCTTTAATTATTTACAAGTCAGCTTCCCAGCAGGCCTCAGCGCTTCTGCAGCCTGGCCTTGCCCAGCTAATGAACTTTCGGGCATGGGAGAACTCGCTACAGCCACTCTTTATTAAACCCGGGATGGAGGGCGATGGGGGTTGGGAGAAGAGGGCCACCTAAAGAAGCCAGAACATGGTAGAGGAATTTGTGCACAAAACCACTTCACCATCTATCTATCCAGCCCCCTAGCCCACCCACAAAGAAACATAGACTTCTTCCCAGAGCAGAAAGAGAGGGGACGGTTTGATGTCATCTCAGGATGGGGAAGCAGAGGCCTGGAAGGACTTGCCCAAGGTCACCAGCTAGTGCTGGAGACAGCACAAGTTCCATAGTTGGGTGCTTGCATTTACACCCCAGCAATTTCCCTTAAAAAGTACATACCCTTGGGCTAGTTATTTAATCCCTCTGTGCCTTTGTAAAATAGGGATAATGCAGGTACTTCATAGAGTTGCCACATTGTATGGAATCGAGGAACATGAGGTGATGCACATAGAATCTCAGTACAACACCTGGAATGCAACAAGTGCTCAGTAAGTATTCACTGTTGTTGCTTTACTCTGGGAGCAAAGGGCTGGCCAGAGACCAGAACCCCAGTATCTACACCTAGACACTAAGAAGAAACAGGAAACTGAAGCCAAGGGGCTAGCTGGCCTACGTGACCCAGGTCCACACCCCACTTCCCCTGGCTGGGCCCCCCCGGGCTTCCTTGGGCCTGGCCCTCTGGCTTCCAGCCCCTTCCTCTACTTTGAAGTCCCTTTGAGTTAGAACTGAAGCCCCATGAGCCTTTCCTTTCCCCACATCACCAGCTCTATCCATGTCGCCAGAAGGCCAAGTCCTACCAGCTGTAGATAAAGGATCAGGGTTTAGAACATCTTAGTTTGAGAGCTGGTTCCAACCCTCAGGAGCTGTGTGACTTTGGGAGAGTCATTTCACCTCTGTGAACCCCAGTTTTCTCCTCTGTAATATGGGAACTATACACCTATTTTTTTTCATTTCATTTCATTTCATTTCATTTTTTGTACCACCTATCTTAAAATGATAAGCTGTAAGGTATTAGTTAATATCGTTCAAGGCCTGGTTTAGCTGTCTCTTCCTCCAGGAAGACTTCCTGGGCTTCTTCAACATATGAGTTCCCTCCCTCCAGCCTCCATCAGCTCTTGGTATTCATGGGCTGCATTCTGGCCCCTTTAGGAGCTTGAACTTATTTTGCCTCACACAGACTTCACTTACAAATTGCAACCTTCATTTTGCAGGTCAAAAAGTACAGAGGTGGGGTGGTTCAGGCTCTCTCATGGGGCAGAAGGGTTGAAATGCCAAAGAAGGGGTTCAGATATAAGGCAAGGAGGCTGCTCAGGGAGGAACCACCAACCTTGAGAAGAGGATAGTTCAAAGAAATGTAGTTTGGGCAGGAGGCCCAGAATTGGGGGAACTCCCCAGACGGGGATGGTTGGGGTGAAAAAAGATCATTTTTGAACAACTAGCTGAATACAGTCACCCAAAGCCGCCACCCCCTTTGTGGCTCCTAGGGGTTCCTTTCTAAAGACCTTGGAAGTGAGGTCACTCATCCATTCCCTTCTCTTCACCAGCCCTGTGTGAAGACTTTCTATGTGTATAACCTATGATGAACAGCTACCCTCATCTGGCAGATGAGGAAACAAGCTCATAGAGGTCAAGCCATGTGTAACTGATACTTGATACTACCAGCAAAGCCCCTACCTCCTTCCACTCCAAGCCATCTATGTCATTTGCTTTCATCTCCTTTTTGCCTGTGACTCCACCCCGTCCATTTCAGAATAAAAGCAGGAGCCCAGATTGGCCATCAGAGCTCTCCAGGTCCCATCTGGAACCACCCAGCCACCTGCTACTTCACTTCTCCGTCTTGTCCAGAGCCTCACATGGAGATGAAAAGCGACAGGCCCAACATTCAGAGTTTGACTTTCCGGCTCCTGGACCACCCTCCTGGGTCCTTTGGCACAACACTCCCCACTGCAGCCGATAGTCTCCCTGACCAAGTTCTGTCACTCTCTGCTGGGTGACCTTGGGCAAAACACTCAACTTCTCTGAGCTAGCATCCTTATCTATAAACAGAATGACAAGAAAAACTGTTCTTCACAGCCTGCTGTTGTAAAGAATCAGGGAGATAAAGTGAAACCAGCCCACAAATGCAGTTTCTATGTCCCTGCCTCACCCTCAGTACTCCCACTGTAAGGGAACCACAGAAGAACAACTCCCAGTGACAAGACTCACTGTAATATTTTACCCCAGGTCAGCCATATTCATAATTTCAATAGCACTGGGAAATGGTCAGGGTTATGATTAGGCTAATAACTTTAGAGTCAGATGCTTAAATTCAAACCCCTATTTAATGCAGCTCAACAGCTGTGGGACAAATAAATCTCTCAGTGCCTCAGTTTGTTCAGTCTGTAAAATAGGACTATTCTGAAGATTAAGAGTTTATATAAGATAAGCACTTATCACAGTGCTTGGCACACAGCTAACAGTCAGCCCGTGTTAGTCCCGTTATATCCAATTCCATTCCTAGAACTGGTCCTCAAAACCGGGGCAGGAATCATTAGCCCAAGTGGTCAGGTAAAGAAACTGAGGCAGAAGGAAATGATGTGCTCCAGTCACAGAGCCAACTTTAGGTTGGGTCTGAGAGAAATTAAACCCGGAAGCTACTGGCAAACCCAATTAAAAACAAAACAAACAAAAAACCTCTCAAACCTCGATGACTAAACAGACAGTGCCTGTCCAGGTGCCCCCTCTACCCTATTCCCCACCCTTGGGTGGAGCTGAGGGTCTGTCCACCGGTTGCCTTCCTCCTGTAGACCCTGTGCTCCCTGGCCAGCAGGGTGGGCCTATTCTCCAAGTGGCCCAGTGCCTACACACAGCAGGAACCCAGTAACAGAGAATGAATGACTGCCTACGTCTATGTTTCTAAGTTTTGTTTTCCTGTTCTTGGAACTACACTTCTCCGTGGCAGCTGCCTGATATCTCGCTTCCGGTCCCACAGACATCTGAAACCATCCCAACCAAGAAGGAACTTCCAAAGCAATTGTGCCTGGGTGTGCAAACACCGCACTCAGAAAAGCGCATGGTCGGGGGTTCACGAGCGGCCTCGGGATCCTCAGATCCCTTTCAGGAGACAAACTCTTCATCCTGGCCCCCTCCTTCCTGATCTGCCCCATAACTCATGCCTGAGCAGAGATGGCAGAAGAGCACGGTCGGCAAACCAGGGTAGCGCAAAAAGCGCTTCACCGTGACTAGGCAGAAAGGCTGCGGGAGTCAGTGACGCGCCCTGCCTGCAGCTACTACTCGGGGGATGAGAGCGGGGGTGTGGTCTGGGCGGGGCCAGGGCAGGGCCCCTGCGTCCACCGCGCCCGAAAACTACACACCCGCCCGCCCCACCATTGGCCGCTCCGGCCACGGGGGCCTATGGGGTGGTCCTCGCCCAGCCAATCAGGGGCCCTGGGGAGCCCATTCATTCACAAAAACCAAGCAGGAAGAGGAGCAAAGAGAGGCCCCGAGCCGCGTGGAACTTTGAAACACCCGCGCGTGCCGTGGAGCCGAGGCAGGAGTCCCGGAGGGCCAGATCGCAGGAAGCTAGACGCATGCAGGGACAGTCGCTTCCCCGTCGACAGTTTCGGCCCAGCAACCGGGTGTAGCGAGCACTCCTCCAGGGCCCCATCGCTCCAGGCTCCGCCTCCGACCCCATTAGGACACGCCTGCCGCCCGGCTGCCGGATCGCTAAGTGCCACCCAGCACCGCGGGACGTAGCGCCCGGGCGGCTTCCCGGCTGCAGTCTGCGGCCATGAGGTCCTCTCAGGTGGCCCTCAGGCTGCAGCTGCCGCCACGTGCGCGCTAAGCATGGCGCCCCCCACCGTTTCCTCCCTCCCCCGCCGGCCACTCACGGCAGTCATCCTCGTCGCTGTTGTCCGAGCAGTCATCGTCCTCGTCGCATCTCCATACAGAGGGGATGCAGCGCTCATTCCGGCACCGGAACTGGTCCTCGTCACATTCCTTGACGGGCCCTGAGCGGGGGAAAGGGGGCGTGAGCCGAATCCGAGGCCACACGGAGGGTTCTATTGGGGTTAAGGAAAGGAGACGATGCTGAAGCCAACGACCTCGGAGGCCTCCGGCACCCTCGATCCTGAAGGAGGGCAGGAGGGTTCCTGGGATGGCGGGCAGCTTCGCGGCACGAGGCGAGGCACATAGTTGATGTCACACGACATAGGCATAACCCCCATTCAGACACCCGCCTGCACACTCAGCCCACAGTTAGAGATCCACGAAGACACGCCTCGACACACGCACTGGGCGCCGCGGGCATATCCCCCTGTCGCATGCAGCCCCTCTTTCTCCGCAGCGCGCAGGGGTCCCCGGAAACGCATTGTGAGGCGGCAAAGTCTGGCTCCGCTCACCGCCGCTGCTAAGCGCGCGTGTCAAATAAACCCCAACAGCAAGAATCACACAGCCCCCTCGAAACCATTAATGACCAATCTCCCCCCTCACCCTCCGCAAAGTTCCCGACCCGCCTGGCCCCCATTGAACCCATCCCCCAAGAGCAGGTGCCGGAGGGTAGAGCCCACAACACAGGGAGCCTCGGGGACAAGGGACAAATTAAAGGATAGCTGGTTCCAGAGAAGCCTATCCCCGCCCCATTCTCCGCCTGGCACCTCTGCCAGGCCCCGGCTGGGGGGCCCTGGCGC